CGACCATCCCTGAGTCGTGCGCCATCAGGATTGGTAGTATCTCCGGGGAGGTTATTGAATTTATTCGTACTCAGGCAGCCAATAGGTGTCTAATACTGGGTGACTTCAACCTCCCTGAAGTCTGCTGGGCTGATCTATCTTGCAGTTCGGCGGTGGGCACTTTCGGTTCGGATCTCCTTGAGCTAACATTGCAACTGCCTTTGCATCAGTTCGTGGACCTCCCGACTAGATATATGCGCAACCAAATTCCGTCTACCTTGGATCTCATTTTTGCGAAGTCACACGATTTCGTAAGTGATATTGCCTACGACTGTCCTCTAGGAGCCAGTGACCATGTCTGCATATCTTTTCGATGTGCTCTAACTAAGTGTCATCAAGCTACCGCTGAGGCATGTCCAAATATTTGGCGGGCAGACTTTAACGCAATACGAGCCAAAGCTTCAGTTTTGCGTTGTGCGATCACCGTGGCTGACACCGTTGAGACAGCCTGGGAGAAATTTAAAGCGTACCTCACTGAGATCTCTGCTCCCCACATCCCATTCACTAAGAGAAGGGTGACACGGGCGCAGCCTCCATGGATAGATCATACAGGTAAATACCTGCTCAGGAAGCGCTCTAAGTGCTGGCGAACTTACCAAGCGGCTTCATCAACCAGCACCTACGAAAGCTATCGAGCGGTTAGAAATAAATGTAAGCATCACCTTAGAACTCTTCGTCTTCAGTACGAGGAGGATTTGGCTAACGCAGCCGTAAAAACCCAAAGAAGTTCTTTGCTTACGTAAAGAGACGTAGCGGTACAAACTCGTCTATACCGGCTTTACTACGAGCGGACGGGACCCATGGGCATACCGACTATGATAATGCCTGTATACTTAGCGAACAGTATACTGGTGTCTTTTCTCATGAGGCCTCTCTACCTCAAGTTGAGCTGGTCACTAAAGTTCCGGAGGATTCTAGCCTAACTGAAATAAGCATAACGGAGACACAAGTCTTCAGGCTATTGCAAGGGCTAAATCCTTCCAAAGCTTCTGGCCCTGATTCAATTCATCCGAAGCTGATGCATGAATTGGCCGCTGAGCTAAGTGGCCCTCTGACATGCATGTTTACAATATCACTCGACAGCTGTGCCTTACCTTCTGAATGGAAGAAGGCAATCATCTGTCCGATTTTTAAGGGCGGGGACAGAGTTCTGCCCGCGAACTATCGGCCTGTCAGCTTAACAAGCGTAGTAGTTAAGTTGTTTGAAAAATTGGTCAGGGATTCGGTGGAGAATCCCCTGATTAAGTTTAACCTTCTCAGTGCGGCCCAGCACGGATTCCGTAAGGGATTTTCATGTCTGACAAATTTGCTTGTAGCTCGTGAAAGCTGGGCTGAGGCAGTAGACAAGGGTCACGCCATCGACGTGCTTTTCGTTGACTTCTCGAAAGCCTTTGATACTGTCCCACATCAGCGACTCTCATTGAAGTTGAGATCGTATGGGATATCTGGAGCCGCCCTTAAATGGGTTTCTGCTTTCCTAGAGGGCAGAGAACAGTGTGTACGCGTGGGGCGTAGCCTTTCGCTTAGACAAGCTGTTCTTAGTGGCGTTCCGCAGGGCTCGGTTCTAGGGCCGCTGCTTTTCGCAATTTATGTCAATGACCTACCCGAGGATCTTGGAGTACCGTCGCTATTGTTTGCTGATGACCTCAAGCTCTGGAATATTGTGGATATCCCTGGTGGCTCTGAGGCACTTCAGAGTGCTTTGGATAGGCTCTGGGATTGGTCAACCTTATGGTTGATGCCCATAAATCAGGCGAAATGTTCTGTCCTCCGCATTGGAGGTGCTAGTCCTCCCACGCGCTATGTAGTTGGCGGAAGTGAACTCCCTGTTGTCATTCAGCAGGTTGATCTAGGTATCACCCATACCTCCTTGCTTCACTCTGGGGAAAATTGGAGGAAGGCTGCTTGTAGAGGGTTCCGTATGATGTGGTTTATTCGCCGCTCCTTCGGTGTCCTAACGGCCAATATCTTTGTGAAGCTGTTCTCAGCTTTCGTGCGACCTCACTTAGAGTACTGTATCCAGGCTTGTCCACCTTGTCTTATAAGGGACAAAATGGAACTGGAGAGGGTTTTACGAGTGGGTACAAGGTTAGTGCAAGGATTACGGGGGCAAACGTATCCCGAACGTTTGCTTAGCTTGGGTATGTACTCAATGCACTACCGCAGAATTAGAGGAGACTTGATTCTCACTTACCGTATCTTAACGGGTAAGATCGGTCCAGACTTGTCCTGGCTATTTAGTCCCGCCAAGCTGCCTAGTCTCCGAGGTCACCCGTTGAAGCTGCACAAACAGCGTTCTGACCGGGTAAGGACGGAAACTCGCTTGTCGCGTCGAGTTATTGAACGTTGGAACTCGCTTCCAGCGCACGTGGTTAGGGAGTCTACGGTAGAGGGTTTCGAGCGTCAATTAGATGCTCTAGGGTGGCAGTACCAAACCTTCCCCTTCTCCTAACCGACTTGTATCTTCAACTTTTCCTTCTTTCTTTTTTAATTTTCTTCTCACCTTGGTATTATCATTATTTAGCTGACATTCCTCCTTTTCTTTTCTTAACTTACCCTTCACTCTTTTACTTCACATAAACCGGCCCGGCAGGGACTGCTGGGCAGGAAAATGTGGGCAGTAATTGGTTGGACAGGGTGTGATGCGGTCTTTGTTTTAGGCTTTTCAACATCTCAAGCAGACCTGTCAATTCCCGATCCAACGATACGCAAAAGAAGGAACATTCACGGGATTATCCTATCGTTCCGGTCCCAACTGAACTTGAACTTCCGTCTCCGCTACAATAAATTCAGATAAGCCCGAGCAGCCTGGGGTCCTGCAAACGTTGTTGATGGGGCTTGGAATCTTTTACGCTCTTCATTGAACAGGTTGCCCCACACACAAGGAAGCAGCATCGCGTGATGGTTCCCGTTGGGTTGATCGAAGATCGCGGCTCTTTGTGAATCCGCGACGGCAACTATGGGACAAACATAAGTTTTCTCAACTGGCCACTGATTACTCGAACTACCAGGCCATAAGGAACCTGTGTTCTCAGGAAAAGCGTGAGAAGAGACAAGACTTGAACTCAGTTTAGCAGAACCATCTTCCTCCAGACCAAAAAACTATACGCTTATCTTAACAAGAGAACTAAAGCTGGTTGTGGCATACCCGCTGTCATCCAACGCGAGAGGAATCGACCTTTATGAAGCAACTTTGAAAAGCAATTGTTAAGGTTTCGGCTGACCTACCGATGACCTGCTGCTAGCGTGCACTCTGATTAGCCCGACTTCCCAAAGCAGGAGACCGGCGTACGGCTGGCAAGTATATTTGCTTAGCGTCCAACTAACGGTACATTCAATTTATGGCCAAATCAATAGGCCTCAGCGTAAAACGCTCTCATTGGCTGGTTCCGTCCCATTAACAGCAATACTCTACCATATACTCGTCACGAGCCCAGTCGACCAAGGTATATGATTCTACGCACCCCCTAGTGCCTAGAACGTACAGAATTCAGGCCGGACAGTTATGAAACTTCTACTTGAACTAAACCCAAAGTCCTCACCTAGCAGTTTGCACCCCCTTTTCCTCAATACAGTGGCTGACTAGGTTGCCTCATCCCTCTGCCAAGTCTTTCAGCTTTCTATGAAGGCGGGTCGTTTACCCATCGACTGGAAAACTGGTATCGTAATGCCTAAGTACAAAAAAGGAAATCATCAAGACACTGTGATCTATTGTTTAATCTGCTTGACATCCATCGTTTGCAAAGTCATGGAAAAGATAGCCGACATGAAGATTTGGAGAGAAATTGACGCTCCCGACGACTGTGGCCTACTTCAGCAAGATCTCAACCGCTTATCCACATGGTCTGCAGAAGTTCTTCTCCCGGTCAACCCAGCCAAGTCGGTATTTATGAGCCTGGGGAAGGGTGCAGACGGCCGAACCTACACCCTTGACGGCCAAACGCTATATCCCACACCCTCCGTGAAGGACCTAGGTGTACTCTCACGCTACGATTTGAAGTCCGTGGACAACACGAACAGGCTATATCGGAACGGACTGCGCATGCTTTGGGCGCTCAAACGTAGCTTCGGCACATGGTCTGAAGAGGTTGCCACTCGCCTGTTCTCTTCTATCATTAGACCAATGCTAGAGTACGGTTCGCCCGCCTACTTTCCGATTACCCGAGGCGAGGCACAAAAGATCGAACGGGTCCAACACGTTGCTACCAGGCTGATCCCGAGTTTACGTGGCTTTGGATATGAAGACCGGTGCGAGAAACTAGGACTCTACACCTTGTCCTACCGTCGGGTACGAGTCGACCTCATTATGACCTACCGAATTCTACATCTCGGTGAGTTCCCCATGTTAAGGCCAATGCTGCACTTACGAGGGCCATGCAGCACACGCTGACACAGATACAAACTTGTTGTGCCGGATATGAAACGTGTTCCCCACCCACTGTGCTTCGAACGGAGAGTGGTAAACATTTGGAATAGTTTGCCCGAACATGTGATTGAGGCAACATCTGTGCAACAGTTCAAAACGTTGTTAGATTTGCATTTTGCCTCTATTCGATTCAGAGAACGACTGCATACTTACGGTGACATCACATTTGTGAATCCTGAAATATCGTAAGTCGAATATTTTAAATATTACATGAGAACGACAAGGATATTCACGGTTGACAACTATTATAATGTTTTTCAAAATATTTCGAAAGAGTTGTACAGAATCCATTTCTACTTGCTCTATAATACAGTATTCAGTAAGCCCACTACATAGGCACTGCGACGAAAACGCCATCACGTCTTCCCAGCATGGCTTCCAGAGGGGACGCTCTTGCTCCACCAAGCTACTACACCATTTCCTTGCCACACTATCATCTTGGGCAACAGAAATAATCTGAGGGAGCATTCAACATGAATCTACTCAATTAATTTGTTCCGTGCGTAGGAGCCGAAGCGTCCCACCTGCACCCATGACTTAGTGCGTCTGAGGTCCGATTGGCTGAAGGCGACGGGCTGTACAGACACACCTACACACTTGCACAAGTGATTGGCTTACACACGGAACAAATTAATTGAGTAGACTCATGTTGAATGCCCTCCCCAGATTATTTCTCTTTCCCAAGACGACAACTTGGCCGGAAAATGGTATAGTGGCTAGAGAAAGGGGGCGAGGGCAAATGATGCCAGACAACGCATATGTGGTTTTCGTCGATTTCAGCAAAGCGTTCGACAAAGTCCCCCACCGATTACTTTGGAAGCTTACAGAGATCAGTGGCAGTGGTAGCCTTCACTCGTGCAGTGCCGACTTCTTGGAAGGTCTAACTATGCGAGAGTGAAAGAGACGCTTTCCAAGCCAGTGCTTATGACAAGCGGTGTTCCACAAGGATTAGTCCCTGGACCTGAACTGTTCCAACAGTATGTCAGTGATATTCCGCCAACACTAAACCGAATGCTTAATCTATGCCGACGATCTCAAGCTTTGGTCTGAAGTGCATCAGCTTGACGTTGCTTATCGGCTGCAGGAGACCCTTGATCTGTTGCAAAACTGGTCCATCAAATGGGGCCTACTAATAAATTATGAACAATGTTGCGCCTTGCCGAGCGGGGCTTTTGAGGCACATTGTCGGGTTCCTTCTCAAGCACGTAATAACAGCACATGACCTGAACCCATACAGGATAGACTGGAAAAGCTTGTCACTGCAAACAGGATGTCCTGCGCCGTAAGATCCGTCTGTTGAAGGATACCGAAGATCTTCTGGCTTCTCTTCACTTCCCATGAACGACCGATTCTAGAGTATTGGCTGCTAGCTACATTTCCACTCTCTAAGTTTGAATGTGTCTTAACCGAAAAGTACCAGGGACGTATCTCTAAGTCCGTTCCCGGGCCTCGTGATCTTCCACTCTCTCCGGCTTTATGTGATGCATTCCCATGGAGTACTCGCTGTCGAGGCGCGTAGTAAAAGGGGAAATTGGGAGCTAGCTACAGCATTTTCAGCCCAAAAGAGCTGGCTCTTCACGAGGTCACCATTGGAAACTATTAAAACCGAGGAGGCTCAAAGTCGACACCGCTGCCGCCCTCTAAACTCGGGCAGTGAGTGACTGGAATCGTCTTCTGGCGACTGTTGTTGAAGCGACGAAAGAGAAAGATTTCAAACTCTTCTCAGATAAGCACCAATGCAAAACACCAAGGCCGCGTTGTCCTACTGCGACTGCTCCGATTCCCTGAGGACTACCGTGTCGCACTTGCATGCGTGGTCTTGGTGTTGAACCGGAGGTGATGGGGCTAACATGGGTCCTCCCTTCTGCCCTCTACAACAATGAACTCCACGCCAAGTATACAAGCTGTATCACAGTCGGTGTGTGCACGAGTCCTGTCTGTTCGCAGTAGCGCTGGTATGGATAGATTCGCACCGCTGCGTCGCCTTACGCAAGCAAACAACTTTTTGGGATTACCTGCGGTTGTGCTACGAAATGGAAGAATCAACCGCCATAGGTTATACGCGGAACACATTCGAGGACATCGGGTTTCCACTCCGATTGTTATAGCAAACTGACACTTGAAATAGTTGCACATATTTCGGAGACATCATATTATAAGTTCGTGAGCAGTAATCCGAAACCAACTGTTCGTCTTACATAAGACGATGGTGGTTTAAGTTACAAATCGCTGCACAATTGTTGGAATGATAGTAACGGAAGACAGAAAATATCATAGACCAATGTATTTTTGGCAAATCATTTGATCTCCTTTACAGTCACATCTGAAAACCAAAGTTGAAGTGATATTACGGAACAATACATACTTGGTAAAATCGAACTTTTAATCTTTCCAACTTTCTCCTTTTCAGTTACCACCAATGTATATAGGAAACGACTGCACCTGATCTTGAACTTGACATTGTCCTTATTCTCCTTTATTTTCACGGCTAAATAAAATGAGTAAGATTGCAATTGTCATACACTTTGCGTCCGCCCTCTGCGTCTTGTGCAGAAAATCCTTTATACTTTCCACTTGCCGCGGCATTATAGTCTGGAGAGAAAAGTGCAGGAAAAAAGGCAGTGTTGGATGAACCGCTCAATGCACCCAAGGCACAATCCGCCCACAGCTCCTCGGAATATGTCCAATGTGGATGAAACACGGATTGTTCATGGCAAACGCTGTTGTCGAAAGCAATATTGTCAAGTCCCAAAAATATCTGCAGATAGGATAGCACATTTTTTCGCTTCGTATCAGGAATGGGAGGACGGAAGGCGTCTAACACACCAACACAAAGATCGTAGAGCTTCGGACAAGAATGCGCTATCAACACATGTTGAAATACTCGACGCCAATCGAAGGAACACATGCAGTGATCGTCCAAATACCGGCTAATTTCACTCTCCTTGCCCACCTGATATTTGTTAAAACCATCTAACCAAAATGAACACCAATCCATACAAGTGGAAAAGGTGAGCTCGGTCAAATGCACGTGGAGGAAAAACTGCAAAATAAAGAGGTGAAGTGCCCCTCTTTGCTTTAATATGGTGAGCAAGCTTCGAATGCGGCGCGTGGCAGTAATTATAGGCATTCTGGCCGCGTCCCTGGAGAGCGTGTGAGCACGCAGTAGCGACACGCATGCAAAACGGACAGCAGGAGTACATAGGCAAGCTTCATTGAGAGCTGTCTCGAAATGTCTAAGAGAAAGTTCGGAGTGTGGAACATTTTCGTACAACCGCTCATTGACATAACGATTTAGCTCTCGGCAAGCCGAATGGAATGTATTATTCAGCTGTAACTGCGCGTTTTCTATGTGGATTAAGTTGGAATGCCAGAAGTCATCTAGTCGATCCAAAGCCCAACTGAAGGCATGTTCCATAAGAGGAACTGAAGGAAGTGAACCATGCGCTACGTCGTTCCGTAGATCAGCAATCCAAGGAGGGAAGCCAGCATTCGCAGACAGCGAAGTCAAAGATTGAGCTGAATAGGGTTTATCCCTATCCTGCTCTTCACTGGATAGCGGCGAGATAATACGCATTAACGCTAGAGCTAGACTTTGATGAGACTCTTCAAAATAAGAAACAAGCAAGTCATGAGTACATGTGATGGCGCGCGGAATTTTCGAGGGAGGAAGGCGTGTCACCCAAACATGCAGTATTGCTAACGCCGCACGAAGGGAAACTGAGGTTTTATCTCGTAGACATTTAGTTACGTAAGCGAATTCATCGGAAGACAACCAAGGAACGTGACGGAGCGAAAACATGACGTCTTACTTTAAGAGGTCAACGAAGTAAAACAAACCCAAGGTCGACTGTTCAGTAGATGTACGATAAAAGTCTTTCGGGTATTTTCTAAATCACGTTCCGCTTTAAAACAAAAATTTACAGAAACTGAGCTTTTTCTGTGAGAGCTACGCGGTAACTCGATTTTTTGGCGTGCCAAACTGATCGAGATTTTTAGTTGAAAAAACGTGAAAACAGTGTTGGAATAAACACTTGAAACGGAATTTGCCGATTGTCAAATTTCCGCTGATCCAACATATCTTGGATCGACTAAAGTGGTACTGGCCATAACGTCTTCCAGACGCTTAATGGTAATTTTGCGGTTGTTCCCTTTTTAATCCCGTTTTTCACCCTGTTTTGCCTTTTTATTGTGTTGTTTTACGGTTGTACACGTGGTTTTAAATTCTGCTCTGTTTTCCACTTCAACATGGTCGTCTCGCGAAAAACCGAGGCGGATGTAGCCTTTGCGTCTTCGTTTGATGAGTCAAATGCACCTTGTCCGGGACAAATTGGCACTAGAAAGGGTGTTGCGTGTCGGTACTAGGTTGGTCAAGGGGTTACGAGGACAAACATACCCCGAACGTCTACTTAGTTTGGGGATGCAGTCAATGCACTATCGAAGGATTAGAGGGGACCTAATCCTAACCTACCGTATTTTGACTGGGAAGGTTTACCCTGATTGGTCCAGGTTATTTAGTCCTGCTAGATTATCATGTTTCTGCACGCATTGTATGAAGCTTGACAAACCATGCTCCGATCGAGTCAGAGCGGAGACACGGTTATCGCGTCGAGTCATCGAGCACTGGAACCTGCTTCCAGAAAAGATTGTCAAGGAAGCTACCATTAAAGGGTTTGAGCGTCAACTCGACGCCCTTGTGTGGCAACATGAAACCTTTCCTTTTTCCTGACTAATTCCCATCTTCATAATTCGATTCTATTTCTCCTTACTTTTCCTCGCCATTGGTGTTATTCTCTTCTTTTAACTGATTTCCCTTACTCTCTTACCTTCGCTTTTTCTTCCTCTTACTTACTTCACTTAATTGACATAGCTGGGACAGCCAATGTAAGGAACGTGGGCATTAACTTGGTGGACCAGGGTGATTTTCGGGTGTTTTTCTTTTAGACCTTTCAGGAAGTCGGAGCGCCCCTAGCAACCCCTGGATCGACGACCCGCTCAAGTAGGAACACTTACGGGATTCATCCTGTCGTTCCGGTCTCACTTGAACTTGAACTTGAACACTAGTTTAGCTTCAAGTGGGACCGGAACGATAGGATGAATCCTGTAAGTGGTCCTTCTTGCACGAGTCGTCGATCCAGGAGATGCTAGGGGCGCTCCGACTTCCTGAAAGGTCTAAAAGAAAAACACCCGAAAATCACCCTGGTCCACCAAGTTAATGCCCACGTTCCTTACATTGGCTGTCCCAGCTATGTCAATTAAGTGAAGTAAGTAAGAGGAAGAAAAAGCGAAGGTAAGAGAGTAAGGGAAATCAGTTAAAAGAAGAGAATAACACCAATGGCGAGGAAAAGTAAGGAGAAATAGAATCGAATTATGAAGATGGGAATTAGTCAGGAAAAAGGAAAGGTTTCATGTTGCCACACAAGGGCGTCGAGTTGACGCTCAAACCCTTTAATGGTAGCTTCCTTGACAATCTTTTCTGGAAGCAGGTTCCAGTGCTCGATGACTCGACGCGATAACCGTGTCTCCGCTCTGACTCGATCGGAGCATGGTTTGTCAAGCTTCATACAATGCGTGCAGAAACATGATAATCTAGCAGGACTAAATAACCTGGACCAATCAGGGTAAACCTTCCCAGTCAAAATACGGTAGGTTAGGATTAGGTCCCCTCTAATCCTTCGATAGTGCATTGACTGCATCCCCAAACTAAGTAGACGTTCGGGGTATGTTTGTCCTCGTAACCCCTTGACCAACCTAGTACCGACACGCAACACCCTTTCTAGTGCCAATTTGTCCCGGACAAGGCATGGTGGACAGGTCTGGACGCAATATTCTAGGTGGGGTCGCACAAACGCTGAGAAAAGCTTCACAAACACATCCTTTTGTTTGCATTCCTTTTTCCACTGGTCAGGCAACTCTCCGGATCTGGCACTACTCTAGCGGCGTCTGACCAGCCACATGCTTTCTGACTACTTCCTTACATTCCAAACGTTAACGATCTTGGCTTTGTTGTCCTGGTGCTCTGTCCCCCTTATCCTGAGACCATTCCTCGGCATGCAACCGCCTTTTCATATAGTCACTTGCTTCCCAAACTGCTTTCTGATGACACTCATTACTTATTCCCACCTTACTTTGGAGGCCTAGCTTCAGCTTGCTGACTTACCTGGGTTTGACTGTACCCTCTCCTGTCTTCTGACATCGCTCGGACTTCTGTGATCTAATGATCTAGACTCTGCCGACGATAGTCTGTTACCCTCACCGCAAGACCACCGCTGGTCATGATTGAACCTTATTATCATGTCCCCTTCTTTCCTTAACATGTCCATTTCTGTTGATGCTCTCTGTCAGCACTTAGACTTTACTAACACGACTTTTACCCTACGAGCTGACATTCTGGGCTCGTCTCAACGATCTCGTACCTTCCGACTTCCGTGAACCTAATGAACAGAAACCGTAAGCTCCAACGGTCTGCGCACAGCACCTGGAGCATATCGTTGGCTTTCTTTTTCTTTCTCTTCTCACCCATAGAGCCTTTTTTTCACACTCTAGCCTGGCTTATCTGGTTCTGGCTGTACGGCCTCCTGCCTTCTGACCTCTCTCGAACTTCTGAGTTCTAAATGATATAGTCTCTGCAGGCGCAATGCTCTGTCTCCCCCGCCTCCAGAGCACTGCTGCTCATGATTCATCAATAGTATGTCCGCTTTTATCTTTAACACTTCTATTCTGTTGACGCTCTGTTAACTTTCTGACCTTTATAATACGGCTTTCTCTCCATGAGCCGATATCCTCATCTCATTCCCATGGTCTCCTGCTTTCCGAATACTGAGCCCATACTTGTGAACCATCGACTGGTCAAAAGGTCTGTTCGCAACACCTCGAGATTTTTGTAGGCTCTTCCACTTCCCCTTAAGTGTCTCCTTCACGATTACATTCCTTCATTTTCGCACTCTGTCTGCCTTCCTTTATCCATTGGACGGATAACACTTCGGGCCTGGCTCCACTCTAGCCTGGTCTGACCAGCCTCCTATTTTCTGACTGTTTCCAGAAATCAGAGACGCACGTGTTCTAGGCTGTGCAGTCACAACACACCCTGTCCCTCAGCCTGAGAGCTTCGTTTGATATGCTAACGGGCTTTTTATATAGCCTCTGTAGTCCCGCAAATTTACTTTCTCGCGACATTCACTACTGTTATCCCCACTTTAATCTGACTGCCTAGCTACATCTTGCTGACTTATCCCGTCTTATCTAAACGCTCTTTTACCTTCTGACCCCTCCCCAAACACTTCTGCTTCACTCTTCAATCTTTCATACTTTACTGATCCGTGTTCCGCTCGATTCTCGTCGTATTTCGCCACTTATGAAATACGTGTATATGCGATATTTAAATAACAATTACATGCATAGGGGTACAATAGTTCAGGCATCGCCGCAATTGATTGACTGCATTTCAGATGCATTCCTTTCATCTGTCTGTGTGGCTGTCTCTGTTCGTTTCCTTTTTCTCCCGAGTCTGTCACAGGTACGGCGACACGCACCCAAGGAATTGTCATCCGTTTCGACAACAATACAAGGCACACAGTTCCTCTATCTGGATATGAGCGGAAAATTATCAACTTTTTTACAACTTACTAACCGGAAAAATCAATCAATTCTTCCGCGGCATGAACCATTGAGTCCAATTTACCTAACAATACCTCTTCCACATATCTCTTGACTGGAGGACTTTCGACTACGGAAAACACATTCTCCTGCCAATACAAAGCTTGGACAATCGGTCATTCTAAGCTCTTCAATCCGCTTTGACCGCTCAAATGGCCGTGGTTACCACAATCTCTAATCAATTTCACTACATACGCCGGGGGATCTGCGATTCTTTCTTCGGAACCTATCCTGTCCTCCAAGACTTCAACATATTTCAACGTATATTCTTCGAGGCTTCACGTGGTTCTGAAGCTGATCAACACATCATATCCAGAAAGAATGCTTAGTTCCTGACCTACCGATCTGGAACAGGAGAGGACCCAGGCACGCAATGGCCACTCGCATAGCGCATCAGTCAGCAGAAAAATGGGACGCAACTTGACTGCGAATAACGGAGCAAAAGAACGTTCAACAAGAAACATAGCCAGTTACAACTTGCCATCCAATGGATTGGCGGCAGTGTTTCAGGACGTGGTGGGTTTTCACCTGGCAAGCGTTCTCCCTATAAAAAGCCACAAATGTCCGTTTAACAACACTGCAACGTGGCGATTGTGACTCGCCACCGAATAAAGTCAGCCCATAACTTCACACTGGCAGCTCAATTAGAATCATCATAATGGATAGCTTGCTCTTCAATTATCTTCCAATGGATCACTCAGGATTTATCTATTATTACTCGAGGTATGACTGCTATATGTGGCAGAGCGATTATGTCCAAACAAATGGATCCCGATCCCACTACAACCCAATCGTTCTTTCGCATGTTCACCATCGCACAGTCCCAAGCGTGGACATATGAACAATTTTCTACTGTCACTACAGTTCCCATAAAATGTCTGTACAGCTGTACATACCTGATCATGCCTCAATTGGCGTGCCTCGCATAGTCGAGAATAAATATTTATTTATTTATTTAAGTACGATACGGTAAGTGAGGAGCAATTCTCCACTAAATCTGCGGTAGTGCATTAAGTACATACACAAGCTAAGCAAATTTCGGGATACGTTTGTCCCCGTAATCCCTGCGCTATCATTGTACCCAACCTCAAAGCCCTCTCCAGTGCCATTTTGTCCCTTTCAAGGCACGGTGGACAAGCCTGGATACTGTACGCTACGTAAGGTCGC